AGCCGCGTTCAATATATGTATTTAACGCCAGAATTGTTCGCGTTCTTATTATTATTTTATAAAAGTCAGTTTTCTTACGAAAATCGGTAAACGTAAAACTGTAACATTACTGCGATTTACATGTTACTAGTATTGATTTCGAATGATAGACCTGTACAGGCACGATATCGCTCATAGTAGTCATAACAATATTTAGGTACACGTTTATTGCATAGTGCAAGCTCGCGCACATCACATATAATATACATGGAATCGATAAAAGGTGAGTGTGTGCGCGGTTTTAATATGTGTCGATATAGTGGCATAATAAATGCATCATATTCATGTGTTTATTTTACGAGAAAAAGAAATATTAATGAAAAACAAATTTTACTTAGGTATTTAATATAATATAAATAAGTGAGCTCATGATTAATTTATACTTATTAAGATAGATAATATATATATGCACCGTACACGTTTTTATAAATTAAATCTTTTGATAAAAACAATTTAAACTATAATTTTAAATATATGACGAATAGCCCTAGAATCAAGAAAGGTTAAGGGGAATATTTCTTTCATATCTTTCTTGGCGACAAATATGTGCCACTTTTTTTATGCACATTTCTACTACATATGTGTAGGCAGTAAGGCATCTATCATAAGTTGAGCTTTAACAAAATATATTACATTTATTTAAATATATGTATGAATACAATAAATATGTTTAGTATTTATTATAATGTTCGTAAATCATAATAATAATAATAACAACTTATAAATATTTATTTTAAACTGTGCAGGCAATGGTGGGTTATAACACCGGAATCAAACAAAATACAATCACCGCAGCCGAAGGAACGTTTTGAGAGCGGCAGGCGAACACGCCGCAAGTACAATAATATGACGGTCCAAGTAGCTTTGCCCGGAAGGAGAATCGACCAGCCAGTAGGAGTCGATTTGGTTGTATCGTACTACACAGTAAGATATATATATTATATATACATATAAACGTGTAAATAAGTATAAAATACTTTAGAAGTAAGGAATACACATATTCCGATATTAGAAATTTTTCGTCTAGAAATATAATTAATTAATTTTAGAAAGACTGTTAAACATTTTGGGAGAGAAAACTCCTCATAGCTCCCTCCCCAACTTTACGAATGTCTGTCTTGATTCATTTGATACCTATATGATATATTTACATTTTTCAATTTTATAAAAATAATTTGCATATTTCTGGTTTCATTGTATCTGTTGGTGATAACACAATTTAATAACTTTAAAATAAAATTATGTTGGAATGTTGAAAGTTTTAATAATACATAAAAAATTTGTGGTAGGTTTGGTTTTGTTGAAAACAAAAGTTTTGTTAAATTTCCCATAGCTTAAAAAATAAAATAGTTATTTCTTCCTAATTTTTAGTATACTTTTATATGAGGTCGACCGGTTACTTCATCGGGACATATTGCATAATTAGTAAAGTTCTCTCAGAATCAAGGGCATACCCAAGGGCCTTCCCAGGCACGTACACAAGGGGAGATTTTAGGGTTTCAAACCCCTCCTGAAATTCAGGAAAATGATTAAATACGTTTTTATATAGTAAAATTGGTATATAGATTATATTATTATGAAAATGTACAACCTAAAACCCTTCCCAAAATATTTTTTTGTATACGCGCCTGCCCCCCCCCCTTGGGATTTGAGTCAGGATCTCCTATTGAAATTTCTATATACTCGACAATTTAATAGTAAATAGTATAATAATAGTATATAGTGTATTTGAATTTCCCGTTATCTGATAAAATAAATTTGGAACTCCTCCCCCATAAAAAATTTCTGAGTACACTCCTGCTCAAAATTTTCAAAAATTTTAACAATAAATTTCATGAATATTTATGAATATTACTATAATATTCAATACTTTAAACAGAATAGCAACACGATAATTTTCATAAATAGGTGTAATCTTTTATTTTAAAAACTATAGTTTGATAACATTACAATAAATAAGTGTTGTTCTTATGGTGTAGGTAATATTAAACATTAAAATAAAGCAATTTTAAAATATTTGACGAATTTAATTGTTAAATTGTACAACAAGCTTATAAACATTATACTTTTTTTTACCTTTTTCATATTTAGTCATGCATATTTAAGGTATTGTAATACGTAGTAAAATTACAACACTGATGTGTATATATAAATATAACAACGTAGGTAGAATGAGTCAGGGGTGACTACTAAAGCCCCCCCCAAGCCCATACCGTATTTATAAAAAAATTTATATTGTTAACAAAAAATTCATATTATAATATAGACTATTATACGACACGCACAAGTATGTAGATAGAGCTATAGAGGTATGACGATAAAAATATAAATTTTTCTTATTTAAATATCTAATCCATCGGCTTTCCTCATAACATTTAAGTATACATATTGAATTTTATACGGTATCCCAAATGTTTGATGTATATTATATTTGCGATGTATAATTTTAATTTTTATCAATTAATGCATACTAGAACATTCATAAGCGTCACTAAGGGGTATCAAAGGGTATATTTGCTACCTCAGAATTTTTTGTGGGGTAGCAAGGATATCTTTTTGTTACTCCAAAAAAAGTCATAGATTTTAAAAATATATTCGATTTTTATTATTCAAGTATAAACGAACAAAGATTTTCTATTATTGTGATTGTATCCAAAATAATTTTATTTTGTGGTAAATACAGTGCTCGACTTGGCAAAATTAAAGAAGGGGGACTCTATTCACATTAAAAAAAAGAGCATCCCCAAAACTTGTTAAATGTTATAATAATAACGTAAAAATAGGAGGGGGACGCTAACATTTTTGAAAATTAGTTGGTGTACTCCATCCCCCCTCAAGTCGAGCTTTGGGTACGTCCAATACAGACCATAAGACAATGTATTTATACACTATACGTCATATTAAGATTTAGGAAGAGTAAGCCAGTTGTCATATTAAACCTATAAAACATTATTTTTTCACTTTCTAAAATTTAACTTTACTACCTCAAAATTTCGACTTTAGTAACGCTCATGAGAACATTTATATTAATTATGTGTTAAATTGATATTAGTAATTTACATTAATTTTAACATAATGTTTAATTATTTCAGGTAATGACTGTGGCACTAGTTAGTGGATTTGGCCTTCTGGGTTTTCTAGCTTATTGGATAAGAAAAGCTTGCTCGTAAGTATAATAACATACATTATTATAAAACAGGGCTATATTAGATTTCTGTTGCCGGCATAAATCATAAAATGGTTTAGAGAAGTTACTTTAATTTTTGCATGAAAAATGGAGTAATTAGTAATACACTTCCACCCTTTTTTAATAATTAATTCAATACATATAAATTAATATAGTAATTTTTAATATATTTAGATGTAATTTTTTATTTTCGCATTAGAGATTAAATGATAAAAACGATTGGTACATACAATAATTGTATTTTCTAATATATTAATAATATTTGTAATTGTACTTATAGAATATTTTTAAAAATAAAAAATTTTATGGTGTGAAGATCATTACTATATATATTAAGTAAAATATTTTAAGAATCTTGAAAAATGTATCATTTAGGTTTAATAATTAGCTGAGTTCTCTAGTAGGTTCAATGGCGTCCTATATTGAAGTCGGGCCTTGGCCTTACATCTTTTGATAATATAGAATGGGGTCGCTTCATATTAAGCCGAAGTTTAGCTCTTGAACCCTATGAAAGCTTCATTATAAAATAAAATCCCAACATCAATTTTATTGAATAAGATAAAATAAAAATGTGATTACATAAAATCTTTCAAAAAATGAGGTATTTTTTAAAGTTCTATATTTAAACCGTTTTTTTTTTAATTTTGTCAAATATATATAAAAAAAAGTCTTTGTTTTAGGAAAAGTTTTTAGCCACATTATTTTTGGAGTTATGATTAAGTAACAAAAATCTGTAAAATGAATGTTACGTTTATAACGTAATTTTACTGTTTTACTGTACTCATGCCAGAATAAATTATTGAGGTTCGGATTAAGATGAAACTTTTGGACAAATTTCTATCTATAAGTGTTTACAGAAAAAAATGAAAATAAAAAATAAACATTATTGTAAAACCATTAAGATCCTTCGCTTCACTCAGAATTTAAAACTGATCATATAATCAGGGCCGTCCCGAAGATAAAAATCAAGAGGGGGGGGGATGAATAATGTGAAAAATGCCTACTACAATTTTTTTTACTCGATGTATATAGTATAATTAACAATATGCAGTCGTATTTTTACTTTTTAACATGTACACCATACATGTGTCAGTGTCGCACGTTCTTACAATTGATAATTTAATTATATATTTATATATAATAATATTTTATATTGTATAATAAGTAGTTATATCAATTTTATTCGTGTACACATTGTGTTACGAAATATGTAATATTTGTTTTCCGTCAGTAAAATCAGGTCCTTCTAGGCAATAATGAAACAAGTCCAACTGCCGACTGTTGTTTTCGTGGGGGGTGACACCCCCTCAAGATCCCCTTCGGGACGGCCCTGCATATAATGAAATATTTGTTTATATAGACGGGTTATACGTACAATAAAAAAATAAAATCAAAGTGAACAATTTATATTTAGAAATATTTACTAAATATTTTAGTAACTGTTGAATAGTACAAGTTGCGGGTGTCTATAACGATTAAGAAACATAAAAAAGATAGAAGGGCTTCAGTATTCCCAGTTTTTTTCATTGTAATTGCGCCCCTGATCATAAGTTATAAAAATAAAATTAAAATTAGTTCTCTAAGTTATTTCCAATTTTAACTTCCGACGAAAGATCGTTTAGATTGATTTATCGATACAAGTATCAGCAAATAAATTATAAAAAATATACGATCTGTATAAGTATATGTTATTTTTAAATGAGTCAAATATATGTTTATATTAAATGTAGTAGTTCATGAATATAAAATGAGAGCATATATTGGTATTATAAGGCTACGGCCTGTTTTGTAAAAAAAAATAATTATAATTATAAATTAAATTATAAATAATGCATGTCACTCATCTCGTAGTTGTTATTTCTAGATATTTATTACAATAGTTGTATAGGTATTCCATTATACAGTATATACTATATAGTGTTTCATACAAGTTCATGTGTGGTCCAAAGTCAAGGTCGGTGTTCACCAGGAACTCACGCGATATATATAGGCTATCATTCATGCATACATGGATAATGACCATGGTTAATTCCCACAACACTTATTCGTCTGTAATAAAATATAATGATAACAAAGCCATCAATATTTACAAAAACTGAACACGCAATTTGTGCAGCCTATGTATCTACGTCGAATGGCTGCCTCAAATGGGTAGCAATTACTAACTATTACGCCTACAATCAACGTGTTCATATTACCAGGGCATTCGTCATCGGAAAATTATGAAAATATCATGTCATTGTCACCAGATATAATACCAAGCCGACCGGTACATACAGTCAACGGTCGTGTAGCGTTAAGGAGACCGGATCATAAAGTTCGGTCGAGAACCACGTGTCCATTTAGATTTCGATTCACATGGTGGTCTAACACTGAACCGCCAAAGTATTTTGAGAAGTTGTGCGAAAATTGCAAAACCTATAAACACGAGTTAGGGAAATTTTCTGAATCTACCAAAATTCAATAGTTGAATATATTTAATTTATATAAGTAATGTTAATATGTCTAATTATTCAATGTTTTTTTCTGTAGAAATGGTAGTCGGTATCAATACACAGCACTGGAACCAGATTCTATTGGACAAGAACGGATGGAACTGGAACGAAAAGCTCGACAACATGCTCAAAATGCATGTCAGCATTACTTAAGGTTTTGTCCTCGATACGCTCTCCTACAACACTTGAACGACATTGGATCAAGGTGAGATATGTACTGTTTATTGCATTTAATATAAATCGAGGATTTTTATATTAAAAAATGTAATACCTATATCGGAAAACGTTATTTAAATTTAGGGTGGACAAACATTGGTTTGTGGTACGTGATGGATCGGTCAAGACAGAACGTTTATTGACGCTCGTGCCAAAGAATCCAAATAGCATTCTTGAATGTACACCGGATACAAGGCGTACCATATTAGATCTTTTTTTAACATTACAACACCCATATATATATCCAATATTAGATGTTGAGTTTGTAGAAGGTGCGACTGATCCAGAAACTACATTTATAACATTAGTCTTACCTTTTAATAGTAAAGGAAGTCTTAAAGATCTTATCTATAAGGTATCTTTAAGTTATATTGTCAAACTTTTATTAATTATAATGAAACTACAATAGTCAAAAATGTAATTAATTATAAAAAATGTAGAGTTGTTGGCATGATGATTGGAGTGATAAGTATGGGCAACGAAGTGAAGGTTTACCACTGTCACAAATTCAAAGACTTGGGCGCCAGATCCTTGAAGCACTTTTATTCCTCAAGAAGAGAAAATTTCCTCATGACTGTAATTTACATTCTGGAAATGTAATTCTACAAAATGGTGTAGCCAGGTACTTTTTAAAAGTTGTAAGTTATACATAAAAATATAGTACAGTTATAATTGAAAGTGTTTTGATTATCTTACAAAAGAATCACAGGCTTAGAAAATTTTTTACTTGGATTCACATCAAGAATTCAACCCATTGTTATGAGTGGTAATTTTGTATTGGAAGACTTCTCAGCAATAGATGTTATTTGTTTTGGTATAGTATTTCACTATACTATATGTGCACAAAAATCTGAAATTTTTGTATTTTATTAGGTCATGTTTTATTTGAAATGGCAGCTGGTTATGAATTGCTTACTCCAGAACCCAGCGAAACTAATTTACGCGATATTGCTCACTATCCACAAGTAAATAAAATAGAATTTTAAAATATTAAATAAAATAGCAATTCAATTATTCAAATATTTATACTATTGATTTTACAAATTTTTGTGTTATTGTTTAGAAAGCCTTAATATAACATATACATTTATGGTTTATTAGGTAGTTGAAATAATGGACTTGGTATTTAAAAATCCTATGGGTCAAGTACCAGCAATTGAACTGCTAGTAATGACTGAGTTCTTCAGAAACATTGATCTCAGAGAAATGCGTGCGACATCTTGGCCCGTGAGTACACAAAGTTTAAAGTTTATGGTTGAAAAAAATAAATAATTTTTAAAATGTTGTTGTATACATTTATTGTAGCTTTTACAGGCCAAAATGACAGTCTCTTCATCACAGTTATTGGAAACTGTGAGAAACAGAAATAATAGCAAGAGTTGCTCGTAAATATTTAAATAAAAAATAAAATAAATGCCATTAATTTACTAAATTTGGACTTAAAATGTATTGTAGGATCTCGAACAATCATGATATTGATATAACAGAAACAACCTCCAAGGAAAATTTACAAATAAAAAAACTGTCAATGTAAATGAAAAAATTATTCTAGAATTTTTGAGATATTTGATATTTATTTATTTAATCATAAATTACAGGAGAAGTAAAAGCTGTGATGATCAAAAATATTCTCATGCAATGCAAAGAAAATCAAATTTTGTTGGTGATAAGGACTGCATGGTAATAAAAATTACATTAGAATATTATCATTACATACTTTAAAATTACAATTTTATTATTATTTTATAGGAACATCGTGGTTTATCATTATATCACCGCCAACAGTCACTCGACTTCCAATTTTTGGGATAATAATAATCCTATAGTTCGTCTATTATTTTTAGACTGACAATTGTTTACTAGGTTCCTTAAGCAATACATTTTTATTATTTAAAATCGTTAATAGGCAATCATATTTAATGCTTACCAGTCATCATCAGAATCAAATTCAGCTTGTGGATCCTTAGACCATGATCCATCAGAATTTTTTATCCAACCGATTCTGCAAAAATTAATAGCAATACAAAATGATAATGTTCATATATATGTATTAATAATGTTATCTATTTTAAAATACTTTTTTCAGATGTATCAATAAATACATTTTTTTTTATACTAACTCAATTGTTTTTCTACTAGTAGAAACTTGATTGGTAAATGGACTACTTTGTGAAATAGTTGTATTTAAATGAGATATAAATGGTTTATATGAATGTTGTTTAGCACGATTTATAACTTGTTGTAATGATGGTTTTTTTTTCATTGAAGAAATGTAACGTGATACAATTGCAGATTCTTGAGGCATATCTATTTATAAAAAATAATATTAATTTTATAATATGTAATTATTTAATTGGTAAATTTTGTTCAATACCATTTTCTGGAAATTCTAATTTTTTTTTACGTTCAGTAGGACCAACAAGATTTTTTATAGCACCAAATGATTGTATGTTCTGTTTTTGCTGTTGTTTAATTTTCATCAACTCTAATTCTTCTTTCCTTTGCAAATATTTACTGAGTTCTAAATAAAAAATATTTATATTAAATAATTAATATTAATTTAATAAATACTTAGCGTACAAAAAACTGAGTATATAAATATCAAAAGTTCTCCCAATTCATTTATGCAAGTTTTTATATTTTAATTTACTAGTAAATCAATAAACTGTGCTGTGAATAAAGTCAATGTGTCTGAGAAGGGCTGGTATACTAAATAATTCAATTCTAGATAAAATTTAAATTTTACATCTAATGGGTTTGTCTGTTTTTTTTTTTTTAAAAAAAAGTGTAATTGTAAAAGTGTAATTGATTATCTTGAGAAAAGACCTGGTTCATACATTTTAAAAATGATCTTCATCTTTTTTATATTAAATGCAGTTTAGATATGCTACTAAATATATCAAAATTAAATAATATATAAAACTAAAATCATTACTGAAATAATAAACAATAATTTATTGATGTACTCTACTTTAATAGTTTTAAATAAAAAAAAAATCTTTAATTTCACAAACTATAATAATAATTTATTTTATTTTATATCATTAAGATTTCAAACATACCATTTAAGTGTTTTTTCCCCTTTCTATGAATTGAAAGCATATTAATAGTATCAAAAATTGGTCTTTGAATACAAATCATACAAGTCAATTTTCCATTAGACAACAATTTAGCTTCACCTTCTGGTATTTGTATGCCTAATAATTGCCTGATCCTTTGTGACTGAAATATAACATTATTCTATGATTGGTAAAATATAATTGAATAATATATACCTCAAGACTTTTGAGTAAATCATTTCCTGGTCCATCACATACACGTTTGAATGACATTTTAAGTAAAATTATACGTATTTTCTTAATCAAACTATCAATATATTTTTTTATTAAGTATTTACAGTTTAAATGTATTTTAAATTACAATAGATTTCCTATAAAATAAATAATAATTATCCATTAGTTTATGTTGATTAATGCATTCAAGTTAATACATACTGTGAGAAAAAATAGTGTTTTTGTTTTTTGATATAATATCAATAATATTCTCAATTTCATTCACAGTTTCTTCAAGATTGAACTCTACCTATATAAATTTGTTTTAAATAATTTAACTATTAATATATATATTTGGTTATAAATAAATTGTTAAAAAAAATATGTATTTAAAAATGAATATGTGATATTACTAACTTTATTGGAAAAATCAACTGAATGTTCAATAGTATCTAATTTACTACGTACATTTTGCATTTCGTCTAAAATGGTTTTTACACTTAAATCAACATTATTGTCATTGCTGGTTAAATGTATCTAAAAATTAACATGGAATATATAAAATTACCTATAATAGGTCACATATTAGAAAATTAACTTGAGACTTACAAAAACTATTTAAACAAACTTTTGTTAAATGGGTTTCACTAAATTTGATTTTCATGAGATTTTATTAAAATAAGTCAATATTTTATATGAATATCTTACCTGATTATTTAATTTTAATTCAACAGATTTTTTTGTCAACAGTTGTAGTTTTTGAGATGCACGACAATAATGTCTTAATGATGAACCCAAATTCAAATCAAAATTGTTAGTAAGAGATACATCAACTAAAACATTATAATTCAAAATAAGTTACTATTAATTTAAATCAACAATTTTAATATTATTAATATTATACACTATATAATACACTATTATCTAAATATTAAAACATTTATTACTTTTCTGGTTGAGTAATAAAATATATAAAAGGTGATTTTCTTTTTTTATTAATATTTTTATCATATTACAGTACTGCAATAAGTAAGAATATATACATTTATGTTCAATTGTGTTTAAAATTATTCAATTTTTATTTTTTTTATTTTTTTTTTTTTAATTAAATAAGGATTGTGTAAAAATAGGATATAAGTAAAAGATATTTAGAGAACCCTATTTTAGAAGGTATGTATCAAGGAAAGAAAATTTGAAAAGTGATTATGAAATGTACTGAATGAGAAGGAATTTAGTGATAGGTCAAATAAAAATAAAATAGTGGTGGTATGATAATAGCAGTAGCAGAGTAAATAGCACTGCTATTTTCTATTAACAATAATAGGTTACTAATCAAAATTAAAAGTAGCTGCTAATAGCAGCCAGCTAAATATTATTAAACTATTACTCACTTTGTTAATATTGTTATTATGATATTCCTACCAATGTTATCGCCAGGGCTCGGAAGTTGTAGCACTAAAAATATTACTTTTGAGCTCTTAAATATGCACTTAAAAACTCTAAAATATGCGCTATAAATAGCACGAAAAATCAAAAAACTATGCATTTAACTTGAAAAAAATTTAATTTTACAAATGGTTAGGCTCATTAGATACAGTCTGGACTGATTGAATTATAAAATGTTAACAAAAATGTTAAATTATTTAAATATATTTGTAAAAATGTACTTATTATTAAATTAATTTATATATTTATCTTGATAATTATCCTAGATTATTAATATGTTTGATAATCTAATGCAATGATATAATAAAGGAATAACAATGACCTCACTAACTATTGATACAACAAATCATCAGTGAAAACATAAAATAATATTTGATGAAGTTATTTATTTCCAATAATTAAAATATTTTTAAAAACATAACCAAGTAAATACAATTATGATCAACAAAATTTGATTATTTCCTACATTATGTGAAAATATACCCAAAAATAGCAATATAAACCCTAATTTAGCAAAATAGCAATAAAACCGGTAAATATGCAAAAAATAGCAAAATTAAATTTTATGTATGATATCCGAGCAGTGAGAAACATATTTGTTTCTTACTTTGGATGCTCTAGGATGAACCAAGAAAAATATGCATTTGCTAGAACTTCCGAGCCCTGGTTATCTCTAACAAAAACAAACAAAAAATAAAAATGTTTAGCATAGTATTTAATATTTATATTCTTGTTTTACACAAAAGTGACTACAATAAAGTCAAGATAACATTTGAAACAGCACTCAAACCAAAACTTTGGCTCAAATCGATAGGCAGATGAACGCGAACAGTCTGTTGCTCGTACCAGAAAAATCAGAGTGTTTAATTTTCACGAGCAAACATTTGCAATTGGCAAACAATTTACATTGAAAATTAAAATGATTATTTTATTGTTATCATTATTGTTATATTTACAATATCTCGAATCTATAATTAAACTAATATGTATTTTGGATATCTACTATTTACTATTAAGATTTATTTATACATATTTCTAGTATGGAATGATGAACTTATACAAATAAAACTGCTATAGCAATTATAACGTTTTTTTACATAAAATATTGACTGCATTAAGTGGCATTTGCTATTAGCTGTAATTTTGGTCAACATGTTAAATAAAAATACTAGAAATAGCAGTAGCAGGGGCTAAAAATATAATTAGCAGTTTACCATCAATAGAAATTAATGAGGTGGAAGAATACTATCTCCAAAGCAAGGACATGAAAAAGATAATATTGTGGAGCATGGGAAGTCTAGATGATAAAGCCAAAGATAATTCAAGATGAATAGAGACTGATTTGAGTCAGGAAGCAAAGTTGGGAGAAATGGTGAATCAAGAATGAATTCAATTTTCTTTAAGTTTTATAGAGAGCAGATAGAAAATCAGAAACGAGTATTTTTAAGGAAATGGAATGGTTTATGGCATACTACAATAATCAATATAGATATCAATAAACAGTGTTATTAATAGATTAGTTCAGGAAGGTTACCAGGGAGGTATGACTCCCAAAGAAAAATGTATAATTCCATAAAAAATTTATTTATTCACTATTTACTCCTATGGCATACCGCATGCCACATAACTTTCTGAAAATTTATGATTCTCCCTCCTCACGAAATTAAAGGTATAAAATAAACACCGTCTGTAAATTATTTAGATTGAGAAGACAAAAATTAAATTGTAACAAAAAAGTTGCAAAACCATGTAAATCATAATATTTTGAGGTCATATATTCAAAATAATTATATACTTTGGTAATACTGAAAATTAATAAATATAATTAAATAGTAACCTGATTAAAAATATAGAATGACGTCTGAAATGCCATTCCATGGAATTAATAATCAGATAACAGATATGTATATGTAAATTATTAAAGGTAATAGCATTCAATATAAATACTAGTATTTGTAATCAATGGTAATAAAGTTGTTAATACTTACAATCATCAGCCATTAGAAAATTTGTTTTCTTTCCTTTTTTAAAAAAAAATAATACGTCATATACTTAACTATAACATCAAAGAACTGGATTGATAAATTCTATTTAGTGGTATCAAGTAACAAGAAAAAACATGGCATTGTTTTCATAACACCACTCTTAAGCTCACAATAATAAATAGCCCACAAATCACAATAAATAACGATTTTATTTAATCCTTTATTATAACTGATAAGACAAATAATAATTCAAAGAGAATATAAAATTAAGCCCTTGTGTTTTATGACTACTCAAATTTTAAATAACTGATATCACAGAATAGTATACGGTCTTAAAAGATATCTTTTAAAGGTGACTAACACGGGAAATAATTTCCGTCTGAACGATTGTACGAATTTAACGTCTTGCAGGATTGATCGTGTTCAAACCGGATCAGTTGTTGCCCGTTCTTGGGCATGGTTAATCATTTTATGGTTTTTATTTTCATTTTTGTGACGACGCGCTGTTCAATCACTGCCACCTGGTAATACTCGCTAAACCGTTATTTAAAAAATTTAATTATTTAAAACAGTATTTCATCTATTCGTAGAATTTAGACATGGGTGAGAATTTCTATCATAGGCGTGCGCACAGGGGTGGCCGGGTGGGCCCCCTCCGCGGACTCTGGCTTTTTCTTTAATAAATGTACATCTATACCATACAAGATAGCGAACATTTTTACATTTTACATGAATAAAGTGAAGCCCGTTTTAATCTTATAATATAGAATTGATATGTGTGAATAAATGTAATAAAGTTATTAGTTATTAATCAGAACTTGCATATAATATAAAAATTGAAGATGTAATTGATAGATTCAAAAACCTTACTCCCGTGGACAAAAGGATGGAGTTGTAAACAGTAGCGGCTCGTGAGTAAATATTCTAGGGAGACTTAAATTATATAACATAAATTTCAAATAACAACGAACAAGAAAAACCTTTTTATTGAAAAAATGAATTATTTTAAATATTATTATTTCATTTAATATTTAGTTAATATTTTTAACTTAATTTAATACTAAATTTGTTTATAAACTAATTCAATTCTTCAATCTTTTTTATCTGCAAACTCATCAATAACATTGTCTACAAAAGTTGGATCCTTTGCCATATCACCCAGTAGATTTTTTTCAATCGCCAAGGATGATAAACTTGAAAGCCGATCATTGGTCATTGTGTTTCTAAGAAAAGTCTTGATACGTTTTAATGTACTCATAGACCGTTCACTAGAAGCTGTCGTAGATGGAATAGTTAACACTAACTGACAAAGTTTAGTCACCTGAGGATAAATATCTTGATGTAAATCACTTGTAAATTGCAAAGGAAAAATTAAATATAATATGAAAATTAATGATATTTAATTTGAATGAATTTATTATTATCACTTACTTTTTATTATAAAATCTAGTTCATGAGGAGGCAAATGATTTTATCATTCGCATAAATTACAGCCAATTCATTGCGTAAACGATCTGCATCAAAAGTATTAGGATATTGCTGTAATAACTTGATGAACTTTGCCTCAGGAAATTGAGTGTAGTAGCTTTTAAACATTTTTTCATTTACAATTTCTACAAACTCTAGTTTTGGAAAATCTTCAAATCGTATGTTAATTTGGACGATTAATGAATCTAGAATTTCATATGTAATTTTACGTAATTCGTTTCGTTTTTTGTCTTCGTACTCTAAATTGTTGTTTAATAGTATTGCTTCGTCACAATAGTTATTCACATTTGTATCATTTCTTAAATCGGTCAAATTTTTTTTTAAATTTTGAATTTCAAAAATGCAAGATTTTATATTCGAAAGTGATTTTAATTGGAGAAATTTAAATACATGATCTGTGTATAAAAAAACTTTGCCAAACAAAATCAAAAAATATACGAAGTTCGCATCATTTAGCTTATCATAAAGACCAGATGCTGTACAAACGGATATAGGGTCCCAACCTGGTTCTTCAGTTACATGTAAAACAGCATTTTTGAGGTCTAAAAAATGTAAAAGCAACTCTTGAATGATAATTCCATCTAGTGTCAGATTGATTTGAAAGTTTAAAACCTTGTTCTCTTAACAACTCACTTCTTTTTGTAGACCGACTAAAAAACGTAATGAACATAGTTAGATTGCAAATAAAGAGTTTGACTGATTTTATTGTCTTCGCTCCGTGTAACAATACCAAGTTCAACTGATGTGCGTAACAATGAATAAATAATGTATTTGGATAAATTTGCCTTATAAGAAATTGTACACCACTTTTTTCTCCCGACATAACCGATGCACCATCATAGGTCTGACATATAATTTTATTTCCAATTTTCCACTTATTAATTTCAGATAAAATTATATCTGCTAATTCAGAGGCTGTTTTATTCTTTGAAACGTCAAAAAAACCAATAAATCGTTCCACAATTTTTTTGTTCTACAACATACCGAAAAATTATGCTCATTTGGGATCGGCACGATACATCAGTCGTTTCATCTGCTTGAATAGATACGTAATTAACTTTTTGTATTTCATTAAAAAATTTTGAATTCAAAACGGAAGTAACGCATTCAATCAAATTATTTTGTATCATCTTAGATGTCCCTTTAAATATTGCCGATGACAATAAGTGCTCTTTAAGCAACTGCTCTTCTTGAGCCAGTAGCTCAAGTAATTCAAGATAATTCCCCTTATTTAAAGATTCATTATTTTCCCGGTGGCCACGAAAAGCAAGTTCTTGTTTGCCCAAAAAACAAACAACATGTATCATAAGTGCTATTAAACGTCTATTTATACCGACCTGTTCGTTATGTTTTACAGCAGCAAGTCGTCGACCTTCTGAAACCACGTGTTCAATTCGGACTTTACCCAATAGATGAAATTTTTCTTGATTAGTTAAATCATTTTGGGAAATGGCGTGTTTTTCTGATTTCCTTAAAAAAATTTTTATTGATGACAATCCATTAACACTCCATTCCTTTTACCCTCCAAATATTACACAAGTAAAACAAAACACTTTATTTCGTTTATCACAACCAGTAAGCCACGGAAATTTACTATACCAATTCTTTTGAAATGTTCTAATACATTTACCGTCTTGACATGTTAATAATAAATGAGGAGTTGGGCGATTAAGTTTAATTTGATTTTTTTGTTCGTATGTTAAAGCATTAAAACCACTGGTTAGTAAAAATTCTATTATATTTTCTTTTTGCATTTTAAAATATGAACAAATGCTGAAATGCTTATATAAATGTAAAATTTAATAATAAATGTTAGACAGATATACGTATAATAATTATTAAATAATTAATAAACCGTGAATAAAACGTCTAAAGCTAGTAAAAATAATTAAACACGAAATACACGGCGCAGCGGCACGGCAATTACTGTCGTGAACCCAGGTTCAAAAGCGTCTATGATACGCAGCTTATTCTCCCCGGCTCCCTCCGACCAACTAGCCATGTCATTATATGTTACGTTTGCAACTGACGGGCTTCAGTTTCATTGAACTGGTGACCGTCGTAATGAGCCGTAATTACCCGCAGAATGACTAAAATAGTATTTCTATCGAATAGCTATTAATAGGTTTTCGATTTTGTGACTTTCAATTTAATATAATAATAAACAATGAAAACGATATAATAATATATTTTAAATATAAATGAAAATATTTTTATACATTATTATTTTTAATTAATTATATTATTTACAAGTAGCTAGTTTATTTTTAAGGGGAGACGCGGTCTCAAAGTCTCCCCTGACAAACCGCCCCTGGTTGTAAATAGTATTTATTTTTATATTTGCATATTGAATTAAATAAAGAATTTATAAAATTTAAAATATTTAATTATACTAGTAGTCTTTAGTACAAGAATCTTTGGTTCACTTTTTTAAGGGGCCCCCCTGCGGACAAAGTCTGCGCACGCCTATGACTTCTATGCTCCAATATCGGTTTACTAATCTATTCTTCATAATTGCAAGTGTATAAAATCGTATCTGAAACTAATTTACTTGAAATTATTGCATTGTTAAATAAATTCCTATACTAGTTTTTTTTAATTTAAAAAAAATTTGACATTGAAGAACATTAACCCTCATGTTTTTACATTTCAGAAGTTGGCGAAGAAATTAGTTTTTATTATTTAACAAATATTTTTATTAAAGGAATCTAATTTTATTCTATAAAAAAGTTTGTTTTACAAAAATAAAGTATCCTAATAATTATTAGGCTTAGGAACTTCTAGAATTTACATACTTTTTTTAATTATTGTTAAATATAGCAGAGTGCGAAATAAATTCGTTTCTCGGCACCATATCAGATCTAAAATTTGAATGTGCATATTTTTGCATATTTGGTAGATTTTGCAGGAGGGTATATTTCAACATTTTTATGCTTATTTTACATATTTTGACAAATTTTTCAAATTTAAAATTAAAAACTATAGTTACATATTTCAACTTATCAAAAAAAAAAAGTACTAAGAAGACTTAATACTTCCAATAATATGCTATCTGCAAACTACCTCTAATAAATCGTTATAATTTTTGTGCAAATATGTATAAATAATACTATAAACCTGTATCGACCGTATAAACCGCTGGATATCAATAAAGATAATAATCGATATAGAATAATAGATTATTTGTTTAGTGTTCAATTCAGTCGATTATTATCCGTCGTTTTTGCGTATATTTTGTAACATTGTGTAATGACGAAAGAACAACAGTCTACGAGTAACCAGTGGCGTAGTTACGGGGAGGGTGTAAGGGGTTTCCACCCTCCCCCCACAAATTTTTTTTATTGATATTTGATTATTATTTATTAATATTTACATATTATAGTAAAATATTTTGATTTTACTATGATTAGGTATATATTAAAAATTGAGTAACAAAATAATTTTCATTAAATATGGGACATAATAATAATACCATTTTAAATGTAATATTATTACATATGACCTCGTTTTAAGATATACTAAGAACACTTAAAAACTTACTCTTAAACAACCCCCCCAGAAAAAAATTGTATCTACGCCACTGCGAGTAACCGACTACAAAGTTTTGTTTTGGAGTTTAAAGATACCTACATTTAAATCCGATGGACACGTTTTATTTTGTGTACTATGTGGTCATTTTTTTTTTTTTTTTTTTAATGGATATAAATGCATATTAAAATTATTTTAGAAGCATATCTGTGAACTTTTTAGAGCTATATGCCTAATATTAATTATATAATACATTATAGTGTATTTCTCTATTATGACCAGTGGTCGAAATGACTCAAGATAAATGGAGTGATGCCTTACAATTCAAATTTCCTGATATCATTATAACATTCTTCACACCTTGTGTACCTATAATACATTTTTTTTTTTTATAGTTCACATAAGGTACATTATCTTAGTCCGTGGCTCTAAATTCGGGTATAATACGGATTGCGAAACGGCTTTCACTAAACAACATGATAAGCCGGGTGCCCGGGCCTGAACGTTAAAAATAATTATTTTCACTAAAAAATATAATTTCTTATATCTATATCTATATCTATACTACTATATAAAATGAAGTCCCTTTTTTTTTGTTCGGGATAAACTCCGAAACTACTTATTCAATCGTCGTGCAATTTTTTTTAAATTAAAGAGTACATCACAGAGAAGGTTTAAGGCAAAAAATTAGTCCAATAAAGTTAATAAATAATTAGTTATTAGTTATCTATATATATATATACATAAATGGAGCCAAAAATGTATAACATTTCATCAATTGAGAACGGCTGGGCCGATTTGGCTCAAATTTTTTTTAATTGTTCGTAATTGCAAGGAGAAGGTTTTTACGAAATGCTATTGTTTAATAAATCATAGTTTAATTTAATAATTTTTGATCCGGTCTATAACTGCACAATTGAAAATTAATTATTAAATAAAACTATTAAAAAACTATAAAAAAAACTATTTAAAAACTATTAATTTTATTTTTGATAGTAAATGACGGGTATTGCATAAATATTAAACAAAAAAGATCCCGGAACAGGTGTCAAAACAAATAAGAATGTTAGTTCGAAAAATTATTATGCATTTCGGTTGATGATTAGACGCGATCAGGACAAAGTTATTTTACGATATAATGAGCTTCGTCAACAATTCATGGTTGAAATGTATGTAAAGATAGAGAGCGAACGATTTTGATACTAGCTATTCAATCAAAAAAAACTGCGTGCAGAAGATTCTCAAAACAATTGTTAGATATTGGAGATGGGCAGTAGCGTAGCCAGGATTTTTAAATGGGGGGGGGCTAACCACTTTTTTTGGATAAGTTAGGTAAGAGAGGATATGAGAATTCACCCTTAACCCCCCACCATCTACTACCAAGTTTCTAAACGTAATTCAAGCATTTTAGTATAGTTTTAAAAATATTTATTAATATATAATTTATAATAATAATTTTGGTTTCAGTCTTCAATCACTTGCTCCACTCTGACAGCTGCATCCTGTTAGGCGAATTTCTGGCAAATTCAGTTATTATTTCACTTTCATCGAATTGCTTTTTTTAATTATATTAGCCATAGCTAACCCATTCAGTCTGTTTTCCGACATGGTGTTTCTTAAAAATTTTTTTAAGCGATTAAGTGCTGAAAAAGTTCTTTCCGGAGTGAAAGAGGTAACTGGTAACGTGGAGAATAATTGTAAAAGTATTTTAATGTTAGGTCGAAGATTGGTGCGATGAGAGAGTGAATCAAGAGCAGAATTCGGTTTTGGAATAGTATTTTGACTCCATTGTTGCCTCCATATTATCAGGTCAGCTCTGATTGTAGATGAGGTATCATCATGGAGATCTTGGACATATATTTTAGCAGCTTTTATAATATTTTTATCGTCATACATATACAAATTGGCCGGAATAAATCCTTCAAGTGGCATAAAATCAATAAGCCTTTGATTAAAACGAGCATTGATTCTATTAAATAGTCAAGATACATTATACATATAAACAAGGCACATGGGGGAGGCTATAGCCCCCTTAGCCCCCCCTTGGCTACGCCACTGGAGATGGGAAAGTTACTACAGATGAAACGGAATGTATAAAATTACCGACCGATTTCTGCACAATCATTTATTCGCAAGATGCTCTCATTGACTAGATATTTTCCAATGTACTCAGACAATACACAAATCATGAGTGGCTGGCAGAAAGGGCAATTTTAGTAGTAAAAAATGTGGATGTCAACGAATTGAATCTCAAGATAAACATTTGTTACCAGAAGACATGGTGTCATACAAATCTATAAATATAGTTTGCTATGCTACTGAAGCTGTAAATTATCTAACAGAGTTTTTAAACTCATTGGACTTACCAGGCATGCCATCGCATAATTTACAATTGAAGGTTTGTTCTCCGGTTATTTTGCTACATAATCTGACCTACCACGGTTGTACAACAGAACGCGATAAGTCGTTAAAAAATTAATGAAAAATGTTATCGAAGCCATAATTTTAAATGGCAAATTCCGAAGTGAAAATATATTATTACAGCGAATCTCAATTATACCAACATATCTGCCAATACAATTTAAACGCCTTAAATTTCCAATTAGATTGGCATTTGCAATGACTATCAATAAGTTTCAAAGCCAAACAATGTCTGTAGCTTAGATTTGAGCACATCATATTTTTCACACGGATAATTATACGTGGTGTGCTCTCGAACTATCCAGTTTGTGTTGGTGAAAGATGGGATAACAAAAAATATTGTACACTCTGTTGCATTAAGGGATAGATATTGTTTTTTACTAATATTGTCATAATTAGCGATATATATATAATTTTATTGGATCAATTTTAATAAATTATTAAAAAAATAAATGTTTGATGTTTTTTCATTTTTATATTTCGTCACCATTCATAGCACTCCATATCTCTTCTTTACATCCTTATCCTTACCCACATTCTTACATGCCTATATTTAATTAGTTATTTTTTTCCAGCAAAATATTCTCTAAAAATAATTTATATGACAAAACAACGTTTGTCGGGTCAGCTAGTATAAATATAAAATGATAATAAGTATATCATTTTAAAATACAAATCTTAGGAGGAATGCGTTATTCTAGACAAAACAAGTAGATGGATTCCATATACAAGTATACAAATATACTTATAACAAAATTAAAAAGGAACAGAACTATTTCAAATAAATCCATTACTATAACTCTAGATTGAAATAAAACTAAAACAATAAAATGCAAATATTAGTTTAAAATAAAATAAATATATATTCATAAATAATTAATAAATAAATGATGGCATAAAAATAAATTTATTAAATATTATTCAATAATTCATTAATTTACAAAGGCGTAAACTGGTGAGAGGGGGAGGGAAATGCCCACCTAGAATAAATTAGGAGAGACAGTGCCCTCTCTGATATTTGACATACCTTGTTTTAAAATAAGTACATAACAGCTGGTTATAGCTATTACTGTAATATTTTATTTTTTTTAAATCTTTATTTTAAATTTTCGCTTATCTAACATGTTAGAAAATTAATAATTTTATATAATATGTAGGTAGTAAAGCGGCGTTTAACCTCAGACAACCTTTTCGTTAGATATATAATTATATTTTTGCTCCCCCCCTGATAAATTTCCAAGTTACGCCTATGTTAATTTATATTAAAAATTACTATATTAAAAACTCTACTTATCTGAATAAGCATAAAATATTTAAAAATATGTATACAAATAATTTAAACCAAATTAATAATGCCTAATATATATGTGATTATCAAGCTTACACAAGTAACATGATTTATTAAAGTCAAATAATAACTATTAAGAATATATTTTTAATAATAATAGAGAGAAAATTGCAAATTATTTCATTAGAACTTATGATTGTCATTAGTTAATGTTTTAATTTAATGATTTATTGTGTTATAGTTAAAACTATTTTAAAAATTGTAAATACAGTAGATTCTTGTTATGTCTAATCTCAAAGAGGAAAAAATCAATGAGTCTAAAATATTGTTAATGATGTTTTACATAGAAGAATATACAGTATTATGGGAAAATTCAAGCAGATGTTGATTTCTTTGGTGTATTATCATATGCTTTACGTAATCTACGCCTGAATTCTGATGGAAATTTTTCATAGCATTTTTTACAAGCTGGTTTTAAGTCACATTCGTAAAACTTAGTCTTTTGCGTCATCTTTTGATCACAGAATGAACATGCAAAGTGATGTACACACCATGCTTTATTTAAAGCAGTAAAAACTGAAAATTAAAATATTTTTATCTTTAAAATAAATATTTTATTTAAAGAAATTAATATTAGTTTACTTACCATCACCAGCAATCACTTGATTGCAAACAAAGCACAAGTTACCAAACAATTGGTGATAATGTGTCTCACAATAAGCTAGACCTTTACGTTCATAATGCCGATGACCCAAAAACGGTTTTTCACATTTAGCACAAACAAAATGTTCTACATGCCAATGTTTTCCTAAAGCAGTAACTACACGTTCTTCAATAGGTCGCCGACAGGCTCCACAAATTGGAATACCCATCTTGTCATGGCATCGCAAACAGTACAACTCATTCTAAAAAGATATAAAATTGTATTATTTATTAATTCAATTTAAATAATACAACTCTGTTTATATTTTTAACCATTTCATTAGCTGTATAGCCAGATCGATGTTTTAACTCTCGTGCATCTGAATTCAATTCTACTCCACAAGACGTACAGTTAAAATGATATCCATGATACACTTCACCTCTGAACCTTAAAGGTTTCTCATCAATAACACCACTATAACAAATAGAAAATGTTACGATAGATATTAATGATAAATATTTAAATAACAACATACTGGCACTTGAAACATATATGTCTCCCTGACAAAACAGCTTTATCAGCTGCATTACATTCATGACACAGAGCTCTATTTCGATTGCGGACAAATCCACGATCAGCTAGCTGTTTATTGCACACCGCACAACAGAAACAAGTAGGATGCCATGAAGCAGACATGGCCTTGATAACACGGCCAATAACAAATTCTCCACACTTACCACAGCATGGGGCAAACAAAACTTGAAAATCATGTTCACAGTATTTACGTCCTTCAAACTCATAAAACAATCCGTCAGGGAATGGTCGGAAACATTGAGAACATCTAAACAAAAAGTAAAAATAATAGATTGATAAACAATTGTTTGAAGGATATTGTAGTAGAAAAATTATACAGTTATATAACAGTAGAACTTACACAAAACACTGGGGATGCCATAGTTCACCCTGTGAGTTGACGATTTTATCATGTGGATCAAAACCATCTCCACAGCGAGAGCACGACATGTTGCTGAACGACATTGTTACGCTGAAATTGGTATCAGTTAACTTTCATACAATCCAAACAGAACAGTGAGCAGCAAAGTCCAGTTCACTTACCCAGGCATTGGAGTTGTTGGTCGGTAACGGTAACTGGAATAAAATTCAATGAAATCAGACAGATGTACATATATACACACACACAGGATACACTGACGGAGAGACCAGATGTGAAATGGGTGTTGATCGAGTTATTTTTCTACTCACATCTGTAGGCGAACCAGGTACTCCCACACGCTGAATTTAGAATGTTTCGGAAACTACAGTGGAGACAGACATCAACTTCGCAGGGTCAATGGATAACCGAATCATTCACATACACACCACAATGAAGTCGAATATACTACGCACACTGATATAGAACACGACTGCACATTGCTATTTATGGAAAACGTCATGTCAAGGACTTCAGGCGAATAAACTTATGAACGTTTGGTTTAGAATTTTTTTCGTTTTCATATAATTCATAAGTTGGTGTTTCTGTCTTGTTACCACTTCTTTAACTAAGGCACAATAATATATAGGTGTATAGTGCCCTACTTTAACACGGTCCGTCATTATACATTGTTATCAACTGATAATTTTGAATTTAGAATTTTGCTTGCTTATCTACCTCGTATTGTCTATTTTCTACATCGTTCACACATGTTTTACATAATACCGTTAATATAAGTCGCTTACGGTTTACGTCATTGTATCATTGTATGTATCAAAACAATACTAATTATTTACTCTATTTTAAATTTAATTGTGTATTCCGTGACGCCATTTCGGATTCAGTAGAATTATTCGGAATTAATATTCAATTTAATTAAACGCCTTTTTTTTTTTCATTTTTGACGTCTTTGTATTATCTGTTGTTAGACAAAATAAAAATGGAACCTATGACACTAGGATCACCGTCCCATGACAGCCCACAAAAACCAACTTATCTTCCCGGATACTTGATGGGTGAACGCGCTCAATCTCCTATTAGTAATGTTTCCCTCAATACTATGTCACCAGTGCGAACTAATCGTAGTTATACTTCGGATGCGCATACAACATTTTTAATGCGTAATTTTCATCATGAGTTGATAGATAAACCGTAAGTAAATTAAATAAGTTTTGAAAAAAATACTTCTCAATTATATTTTAAATTGCATTTTTCCAGATCTTCCACACCTATTTTAAATAGAGTCAATGATGAACCAACCAAAGCACCTACAATTGATTTATTTGACATGCTTAATACATCTGATTATAGAGAAGAAAAGTATGTATAAAATTTATCAATAAAATAAAGTTTATGGATATTTGCTTTTATTGTTTGTCTTCTCTATAGATGTAACAATAAAGAGAACAAACAATTTTATTCAGAAAAAAATGATTTGTTCGAACAGTCTAATTCTCCTGAGTTTTGGATAACAGTTTTTGGTTTTTCAATATCGAATAAAGATGAAATATTAGCAAAATTTACACAAATGGTATCTTGTTGCGATGTAAGACAAGCTGGTCCAAATTGGGCACATATTTGTTTTAGTGATTCTACAGATTATCATCGTGCCCTTTTATTTAATGGTCATGTAACTAATAATGGAGCAATGATTGGAGTTATTCCTTGTAATGATAAGGTAATTGGATATTTTGAGGATATTATAGCTGTATATATATATATATTGTTTATTTTGCTATATTTTTTCTAGACAATTTTAAGTGAAACAAAACCTATTAATTCACGCCCTAGTCCAAGTTCAGGAGCTTTGTCTAAATCTCTACGGTCACCAATTCTAGGTCAACAATTTCCTAGTCCAAATGATTCAATTTCTAAGAGAAATAATATAAGACCAATGGCTATGAAACCTATACCTATTCAAGGAAAAGATGTATGTTATTTTAAACTATTTATATAATTATTTAAAAAACCATTTTCATTTTTAACAGAATTCACCTACAGCTACAACTTCAAATGGTGTCGTAACAAAAGCTTTGGAATATTTGTTCGGGTGGTAGGTAAGAAAATTTAAAAAAATATTTGTATGACCGGTTATATTTAAGCTGTTGTTATTACTTAAATAATTTTTCTCCAATTCATTTTGTAATAATTACCAACTAAAATCATTGTTATAGTTGGAGTTTCAAACTTGCACAAATATATTATTTAGATTTTAATAAAAAACCAAATAATTTCTGTAAATTATTAAAATTCTAAAATCTGTATGTTAATATATAATATAAAAAAATATGAATAGATTATATACAATTATAAGTTAAATGTATTAATAATTTACATTTTATCTAACAAAAATTCATCATTAGCCCTATTTTTTTTTAAATTCTAACTGTTTTTAAATGTAACTGAAAATAATATATTTATGTATAAAATATTGTATATGGCTCTAAAAATTGAGTGGTGAATTATTTATTCATTTTCTATACAATTAAAAAAAAACATTTCATAGCCTAATCATATTTGAACTTGTATTTATTTATATTTTATATACTATTCTGGTCATAATTTTACATTAAAATTTGAGTAAATAAGAATAAATCTGAAGAGACCTAATGTACTATGTACCTATGTACTTAAATTATTGTGATTTGATTATATTTCTTAAAAATGTTAATTTCTAAATTAAATCTTAAATATTTTTCAAAGTTTCTCATTCAATGTTTTTAGATATATATTTTTTGTGCTTAATGATTTATAACTTATTATATTTTATATTTTATTTCTAAATTATAAAATTAAAATTAATTGTATCAAATATTAGCATCCAAACAAAATACATTTTATCATATAATTTATAACAAAGCAATATAATTTACTAATATTGGCTCAATAAATAATAATATGTCAATTTAAACTGATGCAAGGCTCTTGATAATATTATAATAAATATCTATGCCATCAAGGAATGTTTTTTCATTCAAAAATTCATTGTGATCATGTAAAAGAATAGGTGTATTGTTTATTGGTGAAAACCCCAAAGCTGGAATTCCAATCTGCAATTAAAAAATAATCAATTAGTATATTATTTTATATTTTTAGGAAGTCTTTATTATATTTATTATATCAAATTCTTAATTTGTCATTTATAAGTTTTTTCTTTTTTTGTAAGTACTTAAATCGAAATAGAAATAAAATAATTTAAAGAAAATATCAATAATATTAATAATTAATTAATAGTTGTATAACATTGAATTAGCTTAATTTATTGAATTATTTTTATTAGAATATTTGTATTTAAATAAATACATATGTAAACAAAAATTTGGAAAATAAATTAAATAATTAATTATTAATATTTAATATATGTATAATGGTCTTTGTAAAAAATATAAATGTATTATTTTATAAATACCTGTCTGATATATCTACTATCTGTTGCACCAGGAAATATATATGTTTTTAATTTCAAATTCCTGAAATAAAAGAATAATTTGTTACTGAATGTAAATATATTTTCTTAAAACTTAGAATTTATTTTTGTATAATATTGTCAAAATGAATGATTTAATATAAAGTTAAGTTGATTTAATCCTATTAGTTGTTAATTAAATTAATATCTTGATTTATATTATTATTTTATATCATATAAGAAAATTAAAAAATTAGTGATGTTCATGATCTATTGATCATAAACATATAATACTAACATTTCATCACATTCATTTTTAAATGCAACCCACCAAGGGTTATTTTTATCAATTTTGGTAGGCTGAATGAAAGCCATTTTTTCAAGAAATTCTACTGTTACATCTTCCCCTGCTTCCTTACACCATTTTTTTAAAGTTTTTTCCATCTTTTCAACATCGACATCAATACTCAATCTCACATCGAAGCAAACTGATAGTTCTGGTGGTACTACATTAATTTGACAACCTCCGTTTAGCATGGTCAAATTTATCGATGTGATATCACCAGCACCTAAATTGCAACTCTTCATTTTTAATTTTTCATAATCCCTCCAATTCATGAATTTATTAATGATATATTGCAATTTTTCTCCAGCTGTATTTTCATGCAATAATGATCCATGTCCAGGTGTACCAGAACATGTTACTTTAAGATCTATCAATGAAAATATAAAAACAAAATTTAATAAAAAATATAAAATATAAGATTATTTCTTATTACTTACGCCATAGTGTTCTTTCTCCATAGTATATGCTGAAACTATTATCATTACTCGCTAATCCTTCATCTAATGCAAAACCAACATTTAATGCTGCAAATTCGGGTGATTTAACAAATTTTTTCATTCCTAAATTTCCTCCAGTTTCTTCATCTAAGACAAAATTTGAATTAAATTTAAAAAAGATTTTATTTAAATAAACATTATTTATTAAAAAAACAAATACTAACCAGGAACAAATAATATATGTATAGTTCTATCAAAAACTAATTTATCTTTTAAATATTTTCGTATTGTTTCTATATATTGAATTCCTACACATTTCATGTCTTGTGATCCTCGAGCGTATATGTTGCCATATTCATCTTTATGTGCAGAAAAAGGATCGTATGTCCAAAATTCCTAAAATAATGATAGATTGCAATTTTATAAATATAAATATAATTTCTAAATATCCTATATGTAAAAATATATTTAATAATGCTTAATAATAGTTATTTTATACAATTACCAAATTATTTTTAATAAAAATTTAATATTATTTTATTTTTTCATTGTCTCCTAATTTAATTATGACATTAATTATAGCTTAAATAAACTTAAGTATTTTGTTAAGTATTATCTGAATAAATATTATTACATTTGAAAAACTGTTCAATTTAAAAATTTTATTAAAGTTATTCAGTTTAATATGTATTATGATCAAAACATTTGATAATGCCCACTAATACCTATTTTATTTTAAATATTTTTTAAATTAAATTGAAATTTGTAAGAAATAGATAAACACATTAGCATTATGTCAAAAAAAAAAAAAAAAAAAATGTAATCCAATATATGTTATAATTATTAATATTATAATTTTAAAATTATTTGAATTAATAATGATGCAATGATGCAATGTAACCCAACATTATGCTAAAATTGAAATATTTAAATAAAAATAAATTGGTCAAAACTGTACAAACTGAGATGTAATTAATTTTTTCTACTATAAAACATGTGTATGTATCTATACATGTATATGTATACATAGTAACTTATTGTTTTAAATAATAGTTTAGAAATATGTTTTAATAAAAATTAATTAATAAAACAACAGAATCTGTCATGTCACCTTATATTTTTATCAGGTCCTTTTGATTTTTAAAAAAATTATAAATTAGTTGGGCATTTTTCTCAAAATATAATTTCCTTATTAGGCTGTTATTTGATAATACACTAATAAAAAAATTAATAAAATACAATTCTTAAAAAAATTTTTAAATTTAATACTTTTAAAATTTTTTTAGTTTAGAGTAATTATTTCTTTAGAATTAGAGCATTTAGAGCTATAATTAGTTTCATAATACTTACTGGATAGACTGGAACAACATCGGTATGAGAGTTAAGTAGTATAGAAGGCAGTTCTGGTTTCTGCCCAAGCCATGTTATAACTACAATTGGTTGGCCGGGAGCCATATAATAAATATTTGATGGAAGATTTAGGCTTTGAGCTTGACGCAAAAGAAATTCAACACATTTACCTTAATAAAATACATAAATGTATGTTATTTTGTTACTATAATTTAAACAAGAATTAAATGTATTTACTATAATCAACATTTGGATGAACAGTTGGTATACGTAAATATTCTCGGAAATTGGTAACTGCTTCATGTTCTTCTTGATTTGAAGACATCTTTCTTCTTTTTATTTTTAGAAGTGAAGCCTATAATCATCCAACAAAGACTAACTGAATAAAACAATTATTATTAAAATTAAATTATATTACAATTTAAGGATTTAATAATAAATAATTACCCATATGCATGCAATAGTCATGAGCACTCTTGAGATTAATCTTTTTATACTATTTATCCAAGATAAAAAATTATATTTTTTGTAAAGCCTTTTCAATGTTTTTAATTACTATGAATTCTTAGTACATTTTAGCATTTTTAGTGCTTTTTTATTAAAAGTCAATTTCATGTTTAAAGCGATGAGAATCAACCAAAGTAAAAAAAAAAGTAGTTTTTCTTTCTAATTGTATTTTAATTAATTGGGTATGTATCATTAGCAGTACTAAAAGTAATTAAAGTTTAATTCAAATTTCAACTGATTAAATGATATTTTTTTAAATATATATATATATATATATATATATATTGAATTTCTAATATTAAGAGCAATATTTTTATTTCTATACTCTATTCAAAATGTAACAATTATTTTTATTTTTGTATCATGAACAATATAACATATTTTTAATTTATTAATAAATGTGAAATAAATAATAATATAATATTATAATTTGTCAAACTAAACAGCTGATAATAAAAATGTTGTATAAAAAAAATGCTCCGATTTTTTTCATACATTTTTTATTACCAATAAATTTTTAAATTAAATAAACCAATTTATAATATTACTTTATAATTATGCTTTTTGATTAAAAATTCATTATAATTGTGTTAAAAAATGAAACTTTTCAACTAAAAATTAATTAAAAAGTAGCTAATATATTAAGTCTGGGTGTTGATACTCTTATACAAAAGTATGAAAAAAAATATAAAAATAAATTACTTTATTTGTATCTTTTAGATTGTAAAAACTACCTAATAAAAAAAAAATATTTATTTATTAATATAATGTTAAATATAATGGAAATAAATTCTAAATTTAAAATAACTTAATTGGGGATGAAGAAGACCAAATCAAATTTTATTCTTGATACTTGATGCTAATGAATTTTATGTATTAATCTCATACTATAAAATAAAATGTAAATATGTACAATGTTGTTCATAACTGCTCTTTAAACGGTAAATATTTGAATATACCAAAAAATTAGCTTTTTGAAATGTGTTTGAAGCATATTGTTGATATTGAAAACATTTATATATATATTACATATTATTTATAAATTATATACATTAGTTAAATATTTTAGTCATCAATACTCAGACCCTAATAATATCAAATAGAAGTGTATTTTAAATTATTACTATAACCATTGTTATGTAATTTTGAATAAATAATATCTTTGACAACATTATGGTTAATTTAAAATATTTAAAATCATTCTCACCATGCTATTATTATATTATATTTTAAATTAGGTTAATTGACCAATTTTGTTCCATTATTGATCTGCACTTAGATGTTTGCCTAAAATTGAATAGCAACAAAAGTATTAATTATACCTAAATTATATTTAATACTTTTTACAAAGATAATCATAAAATGAAACTAGGTTATCTCTGTTAATAATACACCATATACATATGTATTATTTATCTGAGACCTTAATACCTACTTGATAAAGGATTAAAAATTATCATCAAATAGTTATGAGCAGCGGTGACTGTGAACGTTATTCATATTACTGTGGATGTGAACTATCGCAATACATATAAATTATGTTTTGATAAATAATATTCAAACAAAATCAATGATTCTGTTACCCCAGAAGATGATACCACATTATATTAAGAAGAAAAAAAGGAAAAGTCAGGACTTACCTAAACCAAACATCGCAAAGCAGTAACACCGACTTGTATTTCATTTAGTGGGGAAAAGTGTACAAATTAGTTACCACCACTACTCACTAAGTTAAAGCAAAATAAATTATCAGCCACATAATTATATAGTAAATTCAATCATCACAAAATTAAATACAGGGGTGAACCGCCCCATAATAATACGTGTTCTGTGCCACTGTCACGAAGATATAAATATTAATAAGATAATAATAATAATTACAATATAATGAACGTGTTGATTTATTATAATAAATCTGTGTAACAGTAATTACCTCCTGTTGATCTCTTAATACAATCGAACGACCTTATTGGCTACTCTAGTTACGTTGGTATCACACGTCAAATCCTAATTCGTTATTATTAGCAGGTGTGTGTGTTTTAAATTATTTTTACGTACACCTTTTCTCGTAGGACCAGATGACCAGACTACCGTCTAACGGGACAGCTTCGGCGCCCGTGCGTCGTTGCCCCCGCACGAGTATTATTACGTATTATTAACCGTTATCGTTTTATTTTTTATTTTTTTATTTTTACTTTTAATTTTTATCACGACTGCGGCTGCGTATAGACACAACTTTCTTATCATATTGTTGCCAGATTAGGTGGCCCTTGTATTTTTTACTAACAAAATCGTATAATAACATCATGGTAATGAATTATCTATATCTTAGTTTCTGATTATAACATTTATAACGAACGATATTATAATAAAAGTGTACAAATGTATTCCAATCCGGGTGTTGCATATGCAAAGTTGGGCAAGTTAATGAAAATAATTAACTCGAGTTAAGTTAAGAGAACACAAGATCAATAAGTTAAAAGTTAACAATTCATAAGTTAAAAGTTAATAAGGAAAAAATATTAACACAGTTTAAAAAAAGTTCACCTTTTTTTAATTACTATATATATCACATAAAAAGTGACTGCGTTCTTTAGAAAGATCTAAATTTCCTAAATTATTATAAACAATTTTATTGAATTTTTACTGCCGTATTTATTCATATTTACAGTTTTTATTTAGTTTTTTTTTTATTACTTTTATTTTTACAATATTATAGCATGACAATTATTAGAAATTAGATACGAAGAAAAAAAAATTACAAATAAAATAAAATAATAGTAATAGTTATATAAATCATTAATACTACACTAATTAGATAACAACAATTCGTGATAAGTAAAGTATTTTAAATACGGAAATTGTCGTTGAAGATAAAATGGATGTTGCGAGTGATGACGGAGGTTGCTCGAGAATTAAGGAGAAGGATTACATCAGGAGAGGTGTAACCTAAGGAAGAGAGCTGTGAGAGTAACGAATTGCAGATAATCTTTACAGTTAAAATAATTTATACATAACATTCTGTATCTACAGCTAAGATCCAATGGAGCCCAAAGGTGGGCTCCTAACCTATTAAATCTAATATGACATCGATGCACAGTGTATATATATATATGTAAACGAAAAATTTCAAAATTTTTTAACTTGATAAATCATTTTTAAATCAACTGTGAAAGCCTAAGTTATTTTAACTGCCAATTAAACTAGTTAAATTAAAAAGTTTATTAGAAAATAAACTAACTAGTTAAGTTAAAAATGTATAAAAAAAAATTAACTTTTTGACTAGTTAATGCCCCCCTTTGAGTATATGATTGATGAGTCGCTGATTGTATCACGAAACGCTTTTGAAGCGCACCCGTTTATTCTTCGGCAGGAGTGGTGTGAACCTCGCGAGTTTAATAGAGCCCAATCGACTACCACTTGTTCTCACGACTGTACAGCGGCAAAAAGATTATAAAAATAACTTCTTTTGTTTTTTTTTTCATTATCGTGTTGACATGTTATTTGCAAAGACTGTCGCTCAATGTATGTTTTATATATATCTATATATATGTTCGGGAACATTTAGAAATAGATTATCTGACACTTTTTTCCATCTAAAAATACACTTTTTAATTTGAAAATTTGTAAATAAAAATATTATATGTACACAGGGTTTTCTTTTAATTTGTGACACTAAAAACTTTTTGGAATTAAATAAGGTTAGAAAAATCGGGAAATTGACATCCCTCTTTCGTAAATCAAAATTCGGGACACTAATAAAAAAAAAACAATAAATTAGTTATATATAGATTAGGTAGGTAAGGATATATTTTTATTTAAATGTTATCATTACAGTTAGAGTCAGAATTTTTTTCACTTTTCACAGTACAAAGAATTGAAGTTTTAATAAATATAATAGACTTTATAATAAAATTTTAATAGAAATTTTAACTAAATTAAAGAGATACCTAGCTAAACGTATGTATTTATAAATATTTTGTTCTCCTATTTTTTATGGTTGTAAAAAGAATTAGGACTTTCTTGTTTCGTTCGCTTGTAAGACGGGACACGGGATAAAAATTAAAAAAAAACAAAAACTTACATACGCGTCATGAATATTAAAAATCGGGACGTAACCCAACCCAATGTGTACATGAGACAACGTGCTGTAATAATAATGAAAATAATGTATTTTGCGGTTCTTAGTCATTCATTTGCAGTATTGTTAACATTTCACATTTTAATTTCTCTATTTTAAACAATAAATTTATCTAAAATTATATTATACTAGCTGAATTACCCGGCTCCGCCCATGTGTAGTTTTTGTTTTCTCAAAATTAAATTGTTAAATCAACAAACATTATTGTGTTTTAAAGAAAAAAAAATTTATTTTACTTAATGCTATCAAATGCTAAATAGTAGTAGTAGCTGAATTATAAACAAAACAAAAATAATAATAGTAGCATTTACAAATGACTTCACGTAGTTGCTCAATTCTAATATGGCTTAAGTCAAAACCTCTTGGTATACCACATTCTAAATTTTATTTAGTGGTGCATAAAGGTATAAATGGTAAGGTCTTCTAACTCAAGACAATGCCACATACAATTTCCCATGTGAAAAACAGTTATTTTCCAAATCTACATCACAGTAACTTAAAGTCTGACTTTGGGTTTTGTTTATTGTCATTGCAAAACAGACTTTTATTGGAAATTGAACTCTTCTAAACTTAACCGGAAAATTGTAGGAGTATAATGGTATTTTCGGTAAAAATATTTTTTCTCCCTTTGCACATCCGGTCAAAATTTCAGCTTTAATTATATTTTTTGTAAGAGATGTTACACGGAGCCTAGTCCCATTACATAGAAGAATTCAAATTTTTCAATAATATAATTGGAACTCCTACCTTCAGTGATATTTTATGAGGAGGCAAATCAGATGGTGTTTGTGAATTTAAAAACTCAATAGGAAAATATACCTATTCTTCACTATTAATAACTGTATCGA